CACTTGATCCTTTGCGATACATAGCGTCATATAGAATGCGATGTTGAGTAATCCTCTGCAGCAATGGTCATTTCGATTCAAGTCTGTTCCGACGTCTGGGACAGAAGAACGATTCGACGGAAGCTCGCTCTCGACTGACACCGTCCCGAAGCCCCCTTCCGTGGATTGCTCAAACTCCAGTTTAAGAAGAGGTTTCTCAAGTTTCTCCCAAAGAAAAGAAAAATCCTCAGGCATATTCCATCCAAACGTATATTCCGGCAGAGGGGAGCGCGTACAGTTTCCCCCGGGAGACACCGACAGTACGTGTATTACGGCCCTATATGGAAATGAAAAAAATGATCTCGGGATCATTGCATTTGCTTTCTCTTCGCCAAACCCGTTGTCGGTCATGGAGTGAGACCGGAAGCGTTCGCTCATTTGTGCGGTAAACGCGACGTAGACGCTCTGCTAATGAATTCATATCTATAAGCAATAGCTCGTTCGGATATCTTCGGATGAGGCCGCGATTCCTTCCAGAAGACGATCGAACACCAATGGACACGATGAATGTGCACGCGATTACCGCCCGCCCGAAAGAGCATGGCAATTCTCGATTGCAGTTGATCCGATCATTGCTTCGATGGGATCATTGCTTCGGCTTTTTCACCGGTCATTTAAGTCACTTGTTTGAGGCAGAATTAGGGAGGATTACGATAGTCGTCAGCTGTAGTCGTCGCCGCTACGACCACTGAGACTAACGTATCATTACCAGCAGCGTCAGACAACTTCTTCGATCTCTGCCCGTAAGTCCTGGCTGGATCTATCGGCTGGCCCTCTTGAGCCGGTCGGTCAACCAGTCGGTCGGCCATCGTCTTTCGGTTGGACGGCCGGCCGGCCGATCGGTCGCTTGCTCGCTCGGATAGCTGAATGCCTCGATGGTCCGATGGCTCGCTCCTCGACAAGAGTGGCTCTGACCAGCCAAACGACCGATGGACCGGTCGGACGGCCGCCGGCCGGCCGGCCGGCCGGCTGACTGACTGACACTTGGGGCTTCTCACGAAAGCACGAAAGCACGACCGAAGCGTCGACTTGAAAGAACATTTCAAGAATAATATGGAAGCGATAGAAAGAGGCAGACAGCACGGCACGCAAACGGTGAAAACTCCTGGTCGGCGAAGGCGAGTCGAGGCAACCGCAGGAGGAGTCGCTTTGATCCAAAGCCAATTCGAGTAATGGGCATAATTAGGAGTGATACGCGGCGTCGTTTCTTTCGAAAAACCATGTCATAATAGAATCACAGAACGCGCGCTGTGTACACGGGCGAGGATGCCTGCAGTTCTGAACGTACATGGGCAAGGAGACTTCGAAGCGTGCATCTCCGATGCAACGGATGCGTGTGTAGACCTCTTAGTGATTACGCTCGCCACCCGATCAATAGCGGCGTATACGTCGGGAAAAATGAGAAAAAGCCGGCGAAGAGGCGAAATATACCAAATCGCATCCGTAGTTTTGGTATTCCGGATTCCATCGGATTCGGCGAAGTTTTCTATTTCCTTCATCCAAAGCCTCATTTTACGGTGAGCTTTGCCGCGCGAACCAGACATCTTCCCGGCGCAACGCTTCTGGGTGTGAGCCATTCGGAACTCGGCTCTTTATTGTCTATAATAGGTGATTCGGCGATCGATAGGGCGATAATGATCAAGCGCATGCATCGTGTGTGAAAAGGCAGGTTGGTACTCCAGGGCTTTCGTCGGCTGCGCGGATTGTGTCACGAGTCGTTGCGGGAATCGGGAAGTTGACAGCGCCTACTTGAGGGGATGCGGAAACAAGGCAAAATATTCACTGGCGTGGTCCGACTGAGAATTCGCTTAGAACGACTTCACGCGAAGCCGTCGACTCGGGGACCGGCACCGCACAGACGGAGAGATAAATTATCTCGTATTCCGTCGCTTCTGCCCGCGCACAGGCGACTTGTGAGAAAGTGCTCGAACATGTTAAGCAGTGTCATTGTCAAAAAGAATTCAGAAGAAAAAGACACCGTTGCCGTCGACAACTAGCCGCCCTAACCCGCGCCGTCCGCGGCCCAGACGAAGCAGTCAGTCCATCTGTCCATCTCGACTAACCGCGTGCGAGCGCTGCCCGAGATCACGACGACGCCGTGCCGTCGGTGCTGAAGCGCTGGACGTCGCTGCGGCTGGGTCAGAAGAAGAATACGCGATGGAAGAGTCAAGCAAGCGCTCGAGCAACCTTCATCGATGGCTCTGTTCTAACCAGTGCTCGGCTCAAATGCTTCTATTCAAAGTCAAAGTGAGGGCGGTGTTGTTATTCTCTCGTCTTCTTTTTCGGCACTAGCGATGCTTTCGATAGCCTTTCTGTCAGTCTGTGCCCGTCTGCCGAATGTACCGCCGGCCCGACGCCCCCGTTCGGAGTCGTTATATGTAGCATCGCAGAAATAAAAAAACGTCATCACAACAGTTGCAATCGCTCACCAAGTTTCTACTTCGGAGCGTAATTCGAGCGTCAATTCGTTTTTTTCCGTTCTGTCAGTGGTGCTTGCACGTCCAGAGATCTGCAATGGGCTCTGCAGAAACGGAAAACTCATCGGTACCAGAATCTCCGAGCATCGTCTCCGGACATGATACGTGTTCCCGAATCAGGCTATTCTTGGGCCGAAGTTTCCGACTTGAATTCCCTACGAAGCTTGAATACTTCTTTGGCGAGAGCAGGGGTACCTTCTTGGCCTAACTCCTCAATGGGGAACCCCGTACCGTATATACAATTCTCTGCGTTCGCGACTGTCGGAGGAATTCTCCTAATATCCATCAAATCGAGAGAATCTTCAGATGGCTGTGGGTCGAAATTTCTCGGTCGTTTCCGGCTGAAGGGTGACGATGACGAATCACGATGGAGAGTTTTTTTGTGATGCTTGCTCAGGACGATGGAAGCCCATCCATCCAGATGCTCCGATGGAGGACTTCACCTATGTATAGGGTTTTCCACACGGTTCCGGAGACCCAGAAGTCCCATGTGGTTATCTTCGCGATGGTCATCCCCACAGCCCGCGATACCATCTCAAATCCTTCATCCTCTTCGGAAGAGTCATCTTCATTCATGTTTAGGCTGCGTCAGAAACGAGCCCAATCGAGGGGTTGCGTCTTTCACTCCATACAAATCGTATTTTGCTCGGATGGCCAACTCGTCTCACTGGATGAATGCCAGTGAAACGAGCGCGTAACGAGTCGACGAGTTGGCCGGCGAGCCCTCGAGCCACTAGTGGCTTGGATCATGACCTAAAACACAAATCCGAACATGTTTCCCTTTAGAACGTCGGAATCTCTTGTATGCTCAATCGGTGGGTCGACATATCAGTCGCTCCATCGGCAAATCGATCCGTGTGGTATGACACATCTACTCTCCAAAAACTATATCGCTCACAATCATCATAGACGCTCTATTTTACCTACTCGGGCTCTGATGGGAGGTGCTTATTAGAACGTGGAGCCTTTTATATTTTCACAAGAGTACTCTCCAGACAAAATAATAGCTGTGCACTTACAGACCTCGTTTCAAACGAATCTATCGTACATATATCGAAACGCTCGACCTACCCCTGATCCCGAAGCGCATGATCTGATGGCGAAGATTTGGGGAATCAAGTTTCCGAGAATCGGATCGTTGTTCCCTATCGAGTCCTCCAATTCAAATTCCGTCATGTATCGACTGTGATCAATAAGAGCTCAGGTGGTTGTCCAATGCATGAGCCTCACCGGCGAAATTTATCGAGTCGAATGGGATCTGCGCGAGCCCGAAAACTGACCACAGAGGAATCGACTGACTATATCTTTAGTCGATCGCTCGTCTCGGTGATCCTGGACCAAAAACTTCGGGATCGAGATGCGGGTGTCGTTCGGCAATCCATCCATGGCTGGGACTGGACAACTCGACAAACAATCCACTCAGGATTTGAACAAAACATGTTCCGTAGCATTGCCGGGCATGGGAACGGGACCTGAGCTTCTCCATCGACTGGGTGAGATTCGATTGATTTCGAATGTACGAGATTCCCGCAATCGATTTTATCTGCGGAGCCGTGACGCTTTTTCTCGAAGCGTGAAATTTTGTGGCGCCCCGCTCCATTCTAAGAGAATGGCTGAAACACAATGGATATTCAGAACTGGTTCCGTTACGGATTTTCCAGCTCAAGGATGTTCTCGGAGAATTTCTGCCCGGAGACGATTCTCGAGATCCGGCGATATATTATTTATCATTGCGCGAGTACCGTCCGATTTTCCTTCGCTTCCGACACGTTGGTGGGCAGCGAAGCGCGGTGCATACGACCGTCACATTGTCGTATGCTTTCGTGACGATTCCTCCTCACGGTTTCGGATTGGTCGCTTTGAGCGGGCGGAACGAGTTGGAATGGCCTCGCGACTGTAAACTTGGCGGTCGGTCCTCTGTATCCGAATGAACGCTCCTCTTCGGTCCTTCGCGCCATTCAGAAAGATGGAAAAACCCGGAGCTCCGGGATAGCGTCCCCTATATATGCGTTACATATGTAAAATTCATCTACCGATCGTTTACCTAAGAATTGTTTGCATCATTTCGATTCCCGATATCTTGTTAGCGGGTAGGAATAGGGCCGTTGCTTCCGGTCATCAGACGCTAGGCTTTTGGTGGTCGTTGAGACGGCCGAGAGGGCTGCCAGCCATAGGACGCATGACTCGGTCTGCTGGGTTTTCACGACCCGTCGGATATCAAGAGCCTTGCTCACTCGACACAGGCTCCAGACTCGCACTCCCGAAGGGGATACGGGAAGATTTCTCCTTTCTCTGGAGCCCCAAATAACATATCGGAGGGGACACCATACGGGTGTCGATAGTGGAGTCGGAGCTTCGAGGAATGATGCCGTTGAATCGAGGGATCGAAGAGGAATGATTGTTATACCGGAATGTTCCCGTTTCTATTCTGTGACCCCGATGATTTTCCTCGAGCATTCGTCCTCACCAGTCTATTTCTTACAGAGAGTTGAAGGCGTCTAGCGGACAGTGGATGCAGGACTCGACCACACCGTTCCAAGGCAACATACGGCGACGCTCTCTCCAGGGTTCGCCCCCTGTTATTGTTTCGCCCGTCTTTTCCGCGCCGAATTCCAGTCCAGCGACACCGCAGCATCCCTCACATCTCCCGGCTGGAGCGACCGTACTGCCCTCGCCCGCCGTGGCTCTCCATCAAGCGAATCCAGAGTTTATTCCTCGGAAATATCTCGCCGCACAGGCCTACTACAAACTTCAACAGCAGAGCAATGGTTCTGCGGTGAGTGACGACCTTGTCGTGCCATCCTCGTCCTCGTCCTCTTGCTGCGATGTAAGTTTTTTGTTTTGTTCCGCCTTTGATTCCCTATTATTTGAGCGACGAATATAAAACGGCGAGGACGAGAAGCTTTCTGAGCTCAACCCGACACGTAAGACCACGAATGCGTGCAAATCGTAGAAGATTTTCGTTGACTGAGATCCGGGCACCTTCTGCATGGTCTCTTATTTTTCATTGAGTTCAAAGATGCTTCTCCTCTTTTCGGTCCTTTTTCTGTTCGTTATTCCATTTCGTCGTACGTTGCGTCATTCCGATTCATTCGATTATAAGTACCTCCTTCTCCCCCGAGACAAACCTAAGACACCCACATTAATTATTGACTCGATTTACCCCTCAGGTTCCGAGCGCCCCCTTGAAATTCGGCCCGGGTTTCGACAGTCCCCAGCGAGCGGCTGCTCCCCCATCCCGGAGCCATTCGCCCTGCGCGACTCCTCGACGAAGTCCGGGACGTAGTTCAAGTGTTCAGAGCTCGAGCCCTTCGCCGTCGCCATCGCCTTCGCTCAACGGTGTTCCTATTCGCTGGGCGCCGATCCGTTCCCCAATTCACAAACGTCAAACTTCGTCATTATCGTCTTTGAGCTCAGATGCCAGCGTGTGTCAGCAAGGTCCTTTGAGAGTCGACGAACGCGCCATTGATTGTGGAAGGCCCGTTAGTGACCCTCAAGGCAACCCGGAAAGTCCAGTGCCTTTGCCTCGTAGAGCTCGCAAGGAAGGTGAAGCCTCTCCGAACAACAAGCCTCCGAGGTCCAGTCCCGCACGCCCAAGCCAGCGTACTCGGGGAGTGAGAGCTCACTCGCCCAGGGGCACCGTACCACTGAACAATAACAGCGTCTCTACACAGCCTTCGAATCCCCTATTGGGGAGTCCTGCTCACCAAGCCCGATCGACATCCCCCGCAAACTCGGAAGCCAGCAGCAAAAATGATGAGTCTGTGATATTTAGGAGGTACGCTAATCTTGGAGGTTTGCTCAACTCTTTCCTTTATGCTTAAAAACCGATCAAACGACTCTCGGTTCCCCATTGAAATCGGAATTTCGGGATTTTGAGGCTCGTGGCTGATAGCTGGTTGTTCGATGGCGATGTGGAGCACGGATCGCTACAGTATTCAGGGGAGAATCTCAATTATTGGAGAAGAGCGAAAACCGGAGCGTTCTCCACTATCGGTTCATTCAGTCAGCGCTGAGCTCATAACGGCTCAGCTCATCGTAACGTAACCCTCGGTCGGTGTCACTCTCCGCCCCGCCGTGCATTGTCACCGTAGCTCGTCAATTCACCGATTACGGTTATGGCATCAAAGATTCGAAGCTCTCTCATCTTGGAATCCACGTTCGATCCAGCGAATCGCCGACCGCGAGCGGTGCCTTTTATCTCTCCTTGACACCCGCCTTTCGAAGATTCGCTCATGAAGATTCGCTCATGAAGATTCCCTCCCGATCATGAGGAAGATTGAGAGGCATGCATATGATTACTGACAACTCTCCGAATCACGAGTTTCCACCGCTTCTAGTCGAGCCCATACTGCGGACAGAGCAGCGCCGAAATCTCCGAAAATCCGACTGGCCCGTAGTGCGGAGCGAAATCTCTTCGTCCATGAGATCACTACTTGGTCGAGGCACTGGTGCGCGATGATCCTAATGGAGATAGCCTCTAACTGGTCCAACAAACATCGACGGGTGCCCAGTAGCGTATATGAGGGGGGGGCGAAACATCGCCATCGTACATTGAGCTCTATGGGGATCATCCTCATCCTCATCATCATTATGATTCTGCCCCCCTCCCAAAAAACATTCCTGGCCTCTCCCGAGAAAAAACCTATACACGCTCCTGCGGGTGCCATCACCGGGTCCTCGCCTTTTTCCTCTCCTCGATGTTCCAAGCGCTCGGATGAAGTCGTCGACAAAGACTTTCTCGATCCCCATCCAGGGCCCTCGTAATGGACTGGGGACGGTATCGATTGATTCTGGAGATGAGGTAGAGATACAAGTCTTACTCTTCCCGGAGCATGAAGCGACTCGACGGGGAATCCTCGCGCCTCGGGAATGGCATCCGATCCGCGATCAAAATGGCGATATCTACCGCTTCTCCGACGGAAGCTCCCGAGTGTGGGATTGATCGAGGTCGCTGGCGGTGCCGGATCGGGCTCCTGTTCGAAATGGAAAATGAAAAAAAAACTGCCAAGGGAAACAAACTTGAAAAGCGAAACTTTATTTGAGGCTCGATCACGAGTTTTGCTCGAACAGCGAAAGAAGAGCTAGTTTTCCGAGCTCCTTGTATTCGTTGAATTGACGGATTCCGCCGCCAGGAATCCCCCGGCGAATAACGATACAATTCTTTCTAGGGTAACAATCAAGAAGAAGCTTGAGCCTTCACCTCAGACGAACGAAACTCCAAGCAGGCGATCTAATCGGAGCGAATACGATGGTGAGTGCGGGAAATTATCAGCAGATAATTACAGCTCCAAGTCGAGAATTGTGCTGCATGTTGTTGATATCGTTGTCTCGATGTCGAGCATTAACACCTGTGGCGGCTAACAGAAGCGAGTTTCAATACTTGGTGAGCTATCGATAGTCTTCTGAATGCTCGACTGATTAGCAAGAGATGCGACGTACGCGCGGAGCGAGCATGGTCTTCAGGCGTCATACTCAGGAGTTGTTGCGAGTTAGAAAAGGTGGCGTAGAGAAGCAAGCAGGAGCTATAGGTATGTATATTTCGTCTCTGATCGAACCGGATCATAGAACGAACTCATCCACTTGGCAAGAGCGGCCCAGTCGTCGCTGTAATTGAAATGAATCCCCGTGTTGTCATAATCTCCACCGACTTTAGTTGGAAGACCTCTAGTTCTGCTCAATTCACTACGGTTACGGTAACAACGCTGATGGGCGGAATATTCTTACGCAAATGACCTGGATGGTTCGCCCACAGAGCGCCGTTTTCTGCAGAATCAACTGATGCTTCTCTTTCGTCCGATGTGTATAAGCCACCGTTGTTAGCACTGATTGAGCAATTTCGATTTTTCTGAGCTGCCCACGGACGACCATTCTCCCTGTTGGACAATTTCGTTTGCGGCTCGTTTTCTTGAAGGTCAGACTTGTCTGACATAACGTCTAAGATTCCGAGTCGGGGTTATCTGGAAGTTTGAGCCTCGCCTGATCTCCGCAAGGAAATCACCCATTCGAAACAGGGGGAGCCCGACTGAAAACGGGGCTGCTCTTTCGATTTGAGAGGAGAAAGTCCTGGCGGATCTTTTCGATCATATGTCCTGCGCGTAGCCGACAGCCGGTCTAATTGCCAAAGCGATGTGGCCAGTGAAAGCGGAATCAGGTGATATTCACGGCTGTCTTCGGTCGATTCTGTTTTCGGACTTCGTGGCCCCGGGCTCTTCCGCACCATTCGGCGGAGTCGCTTTCCGTAGCTTCGGTCGACAGGGCGAAAATGTCACAGGTATGCTTCAGAGCGGGCAAAGATAACTTGAATTAGATGTAGTCGATACCTGTTCTCGACGCACCTGGATCGAGCGTTGTGGAGATTTTTCGACTGACTTCTTGGAATTCGCGCGGATTGACAGATTATATATCCGAAGAGCAATCCGTGGTTCCGTGTGCGCTCGGAGCTCGCTAATACCAACCTTTATAAAAAGATCGGTGCTCCAACATTCGCCATATCGGCATCGATTACCCATTCCTACAGGCAAGATCGGTTGCCAGCGAATCATGCGGCAGCTTCCCGTTTGCGACTGCTTTCGGTTAGGAATGTTCCACGCGGATCGATTTCCACTTGGACCTCATGCGATATAAGGATCGACTCCGTACAACACTTTCTGATCGGCAGATATGAGCCCAGAAGAGCCTCTCTCCTCTCTCCGAAGACTTCACGACAACTCCCCTCCGGGTTCTCATACGCTCCGGAAGTCGGGCGTCGAGGATTCTACCGCCGCGCCCTTCCGATGAGCGAGAAAGTACGCGAGCCATGGGGGACACGATCATCAATTTTCGCTCTGTAAGAGGAATTCACGCTCTGTAATCCAGCAAAACTGCCGGACGTCGGCTACTCTGTGGAAACTGAATCAGCTCATGATCGGTTGTCATCGATAACCGAACATTGTCATAGCTATCTCGCTCGATTATTCGGACTTGCGTTCTGTGAGACTGTATATGCTTCAAGCGGTACGCGGAGCGAGTAATCCATCCTGCCATCCACTGCTCCCGGGAATCCCCCTCTGAGATCATCGATGGATATTCTCCCCGAATCATTGCTGTCAAAATTACCCGGGAAAGACAGTAATTCCTCGCGCGTATCCTCCTTGTTTCACACGTTCTGTGCATTACCTACAGGATCACCGCTGGAAGCTTCACGTGCGAGGCTTCAAGCGTTCAGAACTTCCGGCTGACTCTTCTGTCAGCGTTTGCATCGATTTTTTCTGTCGGTCGGGTTTCTGCTAATTCGGCGAGCATCAGTGAGCCTTCTCCGTTCTATCCCAAAGCTCGTTTCCATCAGGCTGAGGCGGTGATTAGATGGCAAAATACCGGTTGGTCGTTTCTCCGTCTTCCTGATTCATCGGACATTATCTGAAGGGAAGCAAGGAGACCGGCCACGCCATGCCACCGTTCCGGCCCCTTCCAGTGATATCGCGGCTGATATGTTCTGTCTGTAGTAGGCGCCGATGAACGGATCAGCGGGGAGCAAGCCGACGGAGACGTTCGATGATTCCATACTTATTACGGGAAGCGGTGAAGCTTCGATCAGAAAGCTATCATGTAGGGAATCGCTGGCAGCAATCATTCTGCTCTGACTGATTTTACGATTTCGATCCCCGCCGAGAATTCTGTTTGACTTCGTTTGTCGCTTCCGATGCGAGGCTCGACAACTGTGCGTGCGTTCCAGAAAAGAAGGGACGGTCGGGTCAGGTGCAGCGGGGGCTAAACGCAGCTGATCGGCAATATGTCGAAGCGACTGGTCCATCGATAAGGTTCGCGACATCTCGCACAGACACGTTGGCCTCCGGATTAGGGATCTGATTCATTCAATGATTGATTTCCAGAACGATCTCGTCCAAATCTGGAATTCCAGAAGGCCGGCGTCGAAAAAGATCGCGGCCCGGAAGAATTTCCCGGGTTTTTCCTTCTCTCTGAGAGAGCCATGTCTCCCTACGTCCGTCCCCCAAAATACTATCTCGGTATAGTCGCTCCTCAGACTGATGCGCCATCGTTGAATTGGTTCTAGTCTGCAATCGATGAATAACAATCAATCGCTCGAGAGAACTGTTGGATCCCTCGTTGGTTTTGTTTGGGAAGCGATTTGACGTATGGTCGCATTGATTCGACTTGCGTAAGTGGGTTAGGCTGTCAGAGCCGTTGGCGGCCGCGTCGGCGGGCTTTCCGATCACGCTCTTGTGAGAAGCGGAGAACAGATGACAGTAAAAACATTCGGAGAGTTCTTCCGAGGAAACGAGAACCTAGGGCGTTCGTCCACGGCATCCTCGTCCCAGCGTCGAGGGCGCCTTTTCGCGAGAATCTAGCGCTTCCAATTTCGCAATGTGTGCTTGCTCGTCTCTACTCTACGGGAAGGATCACCCGGGAAGCTTCTCAGAATGATTAAAGGGGTTAAACCTTTCGCATCTTCGTCTCGACTTTGAAGTTGGAAGATTTGTTTGATCTGAAACGACGCAATTTTACTCGTGTTCACTCCATTGTGAAAGTTCGTCGTCATCGTATGTGCTCTGCGTTCATTAGTCTGAATCGATTGAACGGGCGGACGAGCAAACGAACCAGCGACTGGAAAAAACTTCGGAGAAAAGAAGCGCCGTCATCGAACCCTGAACCGTCAGAGTTGCGAAGCAGCTCGGTCGAATGTTACCAGCGCGTTGCCGTTAGTCACAGTGATGTTAGGCGATTTACTTAATGCCCGACGGTTCCGTCAGACGTTTCCTACGTGGACCTCCGGGATTGAACCCAATGGGATCGAGAGGAGTGTTAAATAAGAAAATATCACACGCGATAACGTCCACGAATTCGTCGTGACGAACCGCCTGACTCGTGAGCATTGGCGTCGGGGACAATCGGATAAGGTATACCTACCTTGTTTAAACTCGGTAACGAGTCGGTCTCGATGGAGTTTCCCGTGGGTGTCCGCAAGGTTTTCGGAAGGTTTTCGACGGGGTTCCGGAGGAAGTAAGTCGCCCATCCGAGACCGCAAATCGATGCGACCATACGTCAATTGCGTCGAGGTTTTATGGCAGCTTGATTATGGCTTAGCAGATCGCTCTAATCTACCGGCTACGCGTCGGTGTTGGAGTGGTCAGGTTTCTTGAGTCCCGTTATTTCACTTTGGAATCGATCAATGCCGATCCGAGCCTTGGCCACCTCTAAAAGCCGTGACACATATTGTCCGTGTTCTCGAAACACACCATCTGGACTCTCAAGGTCAGCCAGCCGGAGCGGAGCTTGTTGTCCTCGAAGGGACGCGTCAAGAAGGCTCTCGACAGCTCTGACGCCGATCCAGCTAACAGAAATTAACTGACCCACAGTAGCTAACATCGCATCGGCACGAGACGATAAGTTGCTTGGCATGACCAGCTGACTAACAGACCTCGATTGGACCATCTGCACCCTAACCCGCTTCCTTGACGGACATTGCAGAAAATCGAAGATTCTGACCTTTGACTGCACTTCCAGACTTTCCCGAAAATCACGATGGGCAAATAATCGCCCTGTGCCTGTCCCAAGCCCCCGATTCCCTGAAAGTACCATCCCTAAACAACCGCTATCCGGATCTGTTGACATCCTCGAATCTCGTGCATTTTGATGAGGATCTCCGTAGCTCAACCTCCACCCTCATCTCGGCCACCGACATGGAGTCGAACTGTTCAGCCTCCCCGATGATCCGACGTCTGCAGGCTCAGATCCGAGCCCGAGCGTCGTTCAGGATGGCGTGCTCAGGCCCGCTGTCGTGCAGCTCAGAGGACGATAGAGACGCGACGCTCACCAGAGAGGCGACACCCCCGCCGCATCTCGCGGCGAGTACCGAAAAGATCCTTCCCGAAGACTACCAATTAGTGTTCATCACAACTTCAGAGTCGTCTTCCGACCTCAGCGGCTCGGATGAGACGGGGAACAAGAAACGTCGGAGGAAAAAGAAACGCAGCACTCTGAAAGTGAAGAGTCGTCTACAGGTGGGCTCTGGCGCTTGCTACATCGAGGACTCGGACTGGGAGTTCACCTCGGACTCCGATTATAGAATGGCGGCGTCCCTTTGTTCCCTGGACGAGATCTCCGACGTCGAAGAGAACCTCAAGGAGAAAGTGAAAATCATCGAGAAAAAATCCGCCTCCCTGGAAGATCTGCCCAGTCTGTTCACGCGAACGGGCAGCGTCCGTCTCAAGCGGAATAACAGCGTACGGAGAAGTATGCGAAAATCGATGAGATTAAAGAACAACCCGACACTGATGAAGAAGAGGGTTGAGGAAAGCCTGGTTGCACGTGAGTGCCACAAGTGCGGAGGGGTGAAATCAAGACCACCGATGACCACCGGTGCCAATGATGGTCCCCACGTCCACAACCCCCACCTCTATGCGGTGCCAGATCTCAAGGATCAGAAAGCAGCGAGCCACCGCAACCAGCACCAAACGCCGGCGGCAGCAACGGATCTGGATCTGGTGCGGCAAGTGTCTCCTCAAATGGAACCGAAACAACTTTCTACGACGAGCCCGCAGCTTCCACGACAGGCCTTGGACGACAACGGAGATGCGTCGGGTGAAAGGACTGACCACGCGATGGCCCGGAGGTGCGCGGGTGGTGAACTTGCCGATCGAGCTACGGCTAGCGCTAACGTAGACGTAGCGGCGACGACGACGACCAAGACAACATCGGCGGCGTTACCAGTCACAGGCAATCGACTTGGTGGGAACGCGTCGGCCGAGAACGTCCACCCACAGGCCCCGGGAGAGGCCGTGCTGGTCGACACGGTTGCCGTAGACTGTCCACCGACTGTCCCAGTACCCGATAACGGACAATCGGCGAACGGTACCGACTGCGAGATCGCGGTGCTGGCTACGGATGCGGCCAGTTTGCGCTCGGAACGACCAGAAGACAGCGTCGACCAGCAGGGCTTCCGCGCCTCTTCTGGAAAACCACTCCGGGAGGAGTTTTCCGACAACGAGCTCGTTGCCGGCGACGACGACAACAACGACGACGACAAATCCGCCGTTGACGACGACGACGAGACGACGGCATCAACGTCGGCGATGGTTGTGGTGCGAGAAGGAGCGGGCGAGCACTCACCTGCAGGTACCGCTGCCGTTGCCGCCGCCGCCGTTTCAGGCTGTCTCACCCGCGCGCCTTGGACCGATCCACGCTCACCATTCAGTGTGGTAACTGACGACGGTCAGCTGCGTTTCGTGCCGGCCGGATATCTGTTCGACGCCTTTCACTTGGATACGACTTGTGCAGTGAATTCGAAGGATTACGGTTTTCAAAATAGTGTTCAGTGTTCAGACGTCGAGGATCCTGGTGAGCAAGTGTCAGAGAGCTCGCCGACGTTCCTCGACCAGACTCCTCCGGTTCGACGGCAGTTCACGCAACCAGAAGAAGTTCCCCCGACCGCTTCGGCTGCGGTCTCTTCGCTGGAAAAATATTTCACCGAAGAACTTCTCATCCCTCAACAGAGCTTCGACTGCTTCGAGGAATATGACAGCGACTACCAGGAGCCGCCGGTTCCCCCGGCTCAAGGTTATCTGATCGAAGAGGAGGACCTGAGCGACGTGTCGACGTCCTCGGATGATCTCTACGCGGTCCCCGTAGAGCAAACGGCCGTGGTCCCTCCCCCCACAATGTATGGCAATCCCCATGCGTTCTCGTTGCACACGATTGTCGAGGACTCGTGCGAGGAGTCGGAACACTCGACACCGAACTCGCCCCAGGTGCAGAGACAGCAGTCCGACTTGGAGCAGTACTTCAGTTACGCTATCGCGAACGCTTCCGAAGAAGACCAGAAACGATGGTCGGTCGTCTCAGAGGATCTCAGCGACACGGTCTCCGAGGCGAGCTACGTATCGGAGGTCATGGAGGAGGATCCCTCCATGATGGCGAGCTCCAGACTCGAGAAGTACTTCACGAATCTTGTCGGAGGCTGCTCGGACGCGTCGAGCTCGAAGAGCGAGCTCCTCGCCGATGAGCCCGAGCCCAGTTTGCCGAGCGGTTTCGAAGAGGAAACCTTCAATACAATCAAACGTAACAAAAAATCCAAGGCGGAAATGGCTGTGTTCAAGGTCAATAGCGGAGAGTTCAGACTCTCCGAGGCGACGAAAAACAACTCGCAAACTGCGAGCGCTGCTCTCGCAAGCCGCCGGTCGGATCGTCCCGGAGAGGAAAACGAGGAAGATCAGGTGGCCAAGATGGACATCGACGACGAAGACGACGACGACGGAGATGAGGCGGACATGGCGAAAGTGATCGACGTCGTTGAAAAAACGCCTTCGCCACAGCATCCCGACAACGAGATCGAAACACTCCAGACACCGTTGAAAGCCATCCGGCTCGCCGAGCAGCTCGAGAACATCGCGATCACCGGCAAGATGAAGCACGAAGCCGACCACGTTGTCAAAATGTCCGTCAAGGAACGGATCAGCAAAATGAACAGCATGGTCGAACAGAAGAACGCCATCAATAAGCCCAAGGTGGTGACGGTAGCAGCAGTGGCGGCGGCGACGACGACGACAACAGCAACGTCGGCGGCCACGACCAAGAAATCTAGTCCAGACACTGCGAAAAAGGTGTCGTTCAAAAAAGACGAGGAAATTTCCAACGATGAAGAGGTCGCCTACGTTGTCAATCGGGTTATAGCCCACATCTCAGGTTCTCCCGACATCGATCGGCCTTCGGAGAAGATCGAAACGCCTGCTTGGAAGGCTCTGCTCGAGAACCAAATCGTTTCTCTCATGCAAACCGTCTCGCCCTACAACGGCAGCACGAGCAGCACCGTTGCGTCCAGTAACAATTCCGATTACGGTAGCGATACGCTGGAGTCGGAAGAATACGCCAACGACGATCGCACAAACACCACCAGTAAAACGAGTCCGAGCGAAAAAGACATTCTCACGGACGAGACGCTTTTCATCTGCAAGAAACTGATGGCCTCTCTGAAACAGCTGAGCTCCAAGTCACCGTCGCCTCCTCTCGTCGACGAATACGCCAAAGCTCAGGAGTACATCCAGGATCAGATCGTCGCTCTGATGCACACGGTGACCAGCTCGAGGAACGGATCGCCCATGCTGAAGGACCGGAAAAAATCCCTCGGTTCCCCGAGTCTGTCCGAAAAGCGAAGCGAGTCCGGCAGCGAAACTGTTTCGGCGTCCATCAGCATTCCCTCGTACGATAGCGACGAGACGACTGCGACCGAGCCTGTCAACAATCAGGAGATGGAGGACCTGTACAACTTGTTGTCGGACAATGTTTCCCTGTCGAAGCTCTCCTGCTGCGACGACGAGACCGACCATCGGGCCATGGCGCTGCCCAAGAGCAAAACGCTGCCGGTGGCCTCGCCGCGTAAACTCCAGCCGAACACCGACGTCGTCAGTTCCCCTTCACCCGTTCAGATTGTCCGAATCTCACCCCCGTCGGCCAAGTACGACTCGACCTCGACCCTGACCACGAGCTCCGATACGGATTTCGCCGGTTCGGTGGAGACCGTGCTGGAAGTCAAAACCAATAATTCGCCCGAGCCTGAGCTCTCCGACATGAGCCGGTCCGAGCCGTCGCTCTACATTAAGGCGAGGAAGGTCGCCGTCGCGAGAAACGCCGATCACCTAAGCAATAAACTAGGGAAAAATAAGGCCGTGGTCCGAGAGGACGATCCGAGTCTGGCCAAATCGGTTTCCGAACACAACTTGTTCGTGGCCGCCTCCTCCGAGGAGAGTTCTGTGAATTCCGCCAAATCCGTCGGCAGTATCGTCGAGTCTCAGAGGTCGCGGGACACCGGTTACTACTCATTCAAAAGTTCGGACGAGAGCGTTGAGCACGATCTCACTCGGACACCGGAACCCTCCGCGGAACCGGTGCGTCCCGCTCGGAGTGCCAGAAATACCGGAGGGAACCGTTCGTCGCCCCTGCCCCCGTCACCGGTTCAATCGATACAACAAACCACTTCGACTCCGAACATTCACGAAACCTTTGCGAACGGGCGTTTCCTTACACTGCCATTGAAACCGAAGCGGACAGAAGCCGCTCAAGGAGCTTCCTCGATGACGCTCAAACCCAGCAAGGAGAAGCACTTCTCTTCGACGTTCTTCTCAACATCGGGAGTCCTTAGGAAGCTCACCCTCAAGGGTAAGACACCAATGCGGGACCCGTTTCCCTTCAAACTAACACCAACAACGAGAACAACACGTCTGTAAACTGAAGAATGGAAAAAAAGCAGGGAGAACAAGAAAAAAAACGTCGAACAAATCGCTCCGACGCTCTGCTGACCGATGACCAAATCCGAAGCGGGTCGTAGCCAAGTTATGAAGTTCGTTTCGTTTAAATTGTTTCGGAAGAAGGTCTGGAACAGCTTGGCGTGATCCATTCTTTCCCTCCGGATCGCTTAACGACGACGACCGTTCGTGTCGAGCAGACGCTCTTCACTTCGTTCTCAGATTTGCATACGCGTCCACTACGTGAAGTCGATGGGCGCAGCTCGAGTAGTAATCTGGTTGCGTTGTTTGCATTGTTGGTCAATCGTATTAATTATTATCCGACTCGAGCGATATCGAAAGAACTCTTGATCCGATTTTCCCCATTGATGAACGGCGATGATGATGATATTGAATGCGGAACGATGAAAACCTTCCGAAACGGCGATGGCCGAGCCCCGCTCGGAAGCCTTTCCGAAGTTCTTCTTCACGGAACGGCTTTTGTCGTCCCGTGACGAAGACGTAACGCTTTTTCCGTTCGTCCGTAAGTCTCGCGGTGCTTGTGTGTAAGCGTGAGTGTGTACTTCTGACTGCCTGGCTCAACGTCTGTAAGAGTGCGTGTGTGCGTTTGTAGCGGCGCTGGGTGTCGCTGGCATCCTGCACAGGTGCGTCTTCAGCGTCTTCTGTCCCAAGCTTTTTCTGGGCTGGCAGAACTTTCTGCTGCCCCTGGATTTCCGCTCGAATGCTCGTACATTTTGTTCAAACGATAGGCATGGAGTGACTATACGGCGATTGGGGGAGGGTGGATGTCTCTCTGATGACGTCGCGAGCGCTCGATAATTGTCTTGGAGTATTTCTTGCGTTCCCCCGTATGGAAATATAATCTTATCTCCGGGGATCTCTTGTGGGATCTATCTCCTCCATGCGGTTCGATGCGTCGCTGGTCCTCTCGGATAACCATGGGGCGCTCTCTCCGAGCTCATCCGGATTTTCGGTCGAATATGGGATCGGTTTCGCAGTCTGTCATGTGTTCATAGGCGCGGTTTGGATATCAACGAATTGTTAAAACAGCGGGGTCGATGCTAGGGGGACGAGTCGGCGAAAAGCGCCCACTCGATCCGAATCAGAGATCTATCCCACTTCCCCGAGAGTTTATTTATCTCGAGCGGCTGAACCGCGAGCGGCGGGGAACACGGAAATAATTCGTCGAAATTGATCGTCGACGGTCTCGGCAGAAGTTCGTAGACGGTGGAGTGTGTTTACCGCTCGACGCAGGGAGGAGGAGAAATCTACGACGTCATTGTGTGCTGCCACGAAGCGGCCAGCTGGACTAGTCTGTGGACGAACGTGTTCAACTAGGAACGTATTTTATGACGAGTTATAGGTTCACGGTGTCACTCACGACAGCGGACAGATACTCTCCTCTCGTGGACCAAAAGCGTTTGCTGCTCGGCTCGAATCGTTCCGAGCTCACAGTTTGGAGACCGAGCTGGACTTGGCCTGATTTCTCGAGTCAAGTAAGGTCAGGCGGAATGTTCAATTCATGGGGGAAAGGAATATTTTTGAAACCTGTTGCGCTGAGAATGCCGGAGGTCGTGGGGATGAGTCCAGGGATATGGAGCTTCTGACTTTCGATGTCAGATTTCGCGACTCTCTCTCTCGAGACTGTCCGACCGTGCCTCACCGTGAACTCTTGCATTCTCGATTAGTGTCAAGTGACGTTACTACTCATGCACAAGCTGGGAGCCGCGAGCAGACGAATCCCACGGGAACGCGGCCAGACTAGCAGATTTGTTCTTCTGTTTGTAGAAGAAGCGATATCTTGTGCTGAGCCATATTCTTGCTAGAATTTTTCTCGTTTTTTTTCTTCGTGTGGCTTCAGTCGCTGCTCTCACCGCTGCCGAAGCTTTACTTGGAAGAAAAAGGTTCAAAGATTGCTACTGCCTCCACCGCCGCCGCCGATTCTTCCTTCCGCCCTCGTCATCTGCGCACGTCGGCCGAGCGAGAAATTATTCCAAGCGAACGGAGAAGAGAAAAAACTGCGTTTCGTTCATTTCGTCTGGAATCACTTGGGCAGACAAGCGGTCGGGCGGATGGACGAACGCCCGATCAGGGCTCTGGTTCGCTGAGTTTCAATTAGTTCGCATTCGTCTCAACTCGAGCTGCAGTCCACTTCCATCGAATCAGAATTTTCAGCTCTGTAAACATCGAACACGAATCTGATCAGCCGATTGAGGGACGGACACACGCACGCACGGGCGGGCGGCGTTGCCAGCGCTTGGTCTTGCGTCGCACCGGTGCAACTCGATCGCTGTTCTAGAATCTATACCGCTAGGCTCGGCTCGAAGATTCATGATTCAAACGGAACTTCGCCATCGGAATTATTAAAATTGGAACGCGGGGAGACTTTTATGAAATGAACGAAAGGATTCTGATCCTTCTGACGGAGCGGGCGAGCGAATGAGTGAGTCAACGCGGTCGGAATAGCGTATGGGGTACTTGATGGAATGTGTCCCAGAATCCCCGACGGCCGTCCGTTCGACTATTGCTCCGCCAAGGGTGAGAGCCGCGATCTTCGTGTTTGCATGAGCATTCGATGCAGGTTCCACAGAACGTCTTCACTATCGCAAAGTATTGATTGACTCGAAGAACCGAGCGAGGATTCGATTGTATTCACGAGAAAAAACTGAGCCGCCGCTATGGCTGACAGAGTATTTACTTTGCACGATCGCTCGCTGCTTCATTGGCTACTGTCAAGGAAGACTCAGCGCGCCAGCTTGCGCGTCAATGAATTTGTGCTCATCATGACGTAACGATCGCGGCGACAAGCACCGGTGGGTGACGATGCCACGGAGCTCTGGACTTGAATTCGTGCTAACGTGTCCGTGCGAACCCATGCTCCCTCTCGGAGTGAATGCAAAAATCAGCGACGACGTCCGTAGGCGCTCACTTCCCTGTTGGTTCAACTCGTTGATGAAGTGAAGACTTTCTGCGTCCGCCGCCGTCTGACGGGCGAACGAGCGTTGCTCATACAAATCCAAACTCAAAGGAGAGGGTGGCCCCAGAGGCCAAGGTCCTTCCGTTTATTTCGATGAGCTGCTCAAGCGGTGGGCCGACCGACTGGACAGCTGCTACCGCTGGAAAGGAAGAGAAAAACCTGTACGGCCAAGAAAAGAGCTGCGAGCCCATCGGGAACTCTTCAAGATATTTGTACGAAAGCGGATCACAATAGTCCATCGTCTGTGAAGCGAGAATGCTCCACTCATTTTTTTTTTGCATATCACGAATACCTGTAAAGGGCATGTACTCCGCAGGAATTCGTCGGTTCTCGATGCGCGACAGCGAGCATCCACTCCGATTCGAAAGAGCTCTCTCCGATAAAATAACGGACCCGAGTAGTGCTTAAAGAAGTTTGGCGGCGAATTTCGATTCGCCTACGTAAGCGGATTTAGGATCGGGCTTATTGTGGGATTCGACTTTCCACTTTCTACGCTCCTACGAGCCGTTATTCGCTCGATAAATTGAAGTTGAACGATTCGATACGTCAGTCCGTGATGTATGTACGTCGACGAGCGAATAGGCAAACAACGAAGGGTACGCCCGGAATGCCTCGCGCCAAGCGAATTTGCATAATGTCCCCCCCCCGCTGCCTGGATGCTGTTCATACGTTCGTTTCGTCATTCATTCATCTATCAGTCCGTCCGTCTAGACGAGCGAATAGCCGTTCATTCTTCGCCGTTTGCTCCGACCGTTGTCCTATCGCTTACCCGCTCGATCCACTCCTTTGGGATTTTCCGGAAGACTATGTTCCCTGTTCCGTTGTTTCCAATCAAAAAAGAGGAGAGGTCGTTCGACTCCGATGACAAGCGTTCAGGCAGGCGGGCGCGCGCTTCGGTGAAGTTTACCGAAGACGCAGAGCATTTGAAGACGGACCGTCTTCAAACGCTTTGTGCGGGGCTCTCGTCGAGGACTTTAATTTCTCGAAGCGGTGATCCCCCCGCTGGCTTACGCCTCCCGGGAGAACGATTGGAATAATTATGGGATTGATCCTTTTCTCCTGCATTTCTATTTGTTGTCTCGTCAGTGTTCTTCCCGCTGTATTCAAACCTGAGACTCCACGCTGCAATCAACAATGCGTCGAAGTGAGGCCCAGTTGACAGTTCGACTGAGCAAGTCACAGAGTGACCGTTCATCTCGGGCACTGTAGGGAAGACGGAAAAAGCCGGGCCCGAGTTTTCTCTCTTCACCGAACGCTTCAGAAAACTAGCGATTTTCGATCATATGAACGTATTCGATGCTGTATAAGTAGTAGATGAGCGAAGCTGCGTTACAACTGCACTTAGCCCCGAGCCCAGTTCCCAAGCCTGTCCACTTGATTGATAGCAACGCTCTGCTTTTGCGCTTCCGATCATTGGTCCGCAATCAATTTTCCTTCCGTGCCCATCGTTCAACTACTTTAGGAAGTTACTCGATTGGTTCCAGTACCCCTATGGTAGGCCATAACAATAGATTCGATGCGATATCATCCCTCCATTCCATCTCGTACTCGATCAAACGTAGAATCTTCTCTCACCCTATTTTGCCCTCAGGGATCAGAAGTATGTCAGTCAGACAGTCAGATATTCTCGTTCAAGGATGATGGGGAATGCGCAACAAACGAATCCTTGTCGTTTTCTCGTATTGCCGCAAGTCTACGAGAGCTTGATGATATTTTGGCCGAATCTTCTGGCATTAGATATAAATAGCGTATTTTCTCTCTTCATTCCCTCATTGACTGCGATCCGTCTGCCGATGCCAACGCTTTCATTCCGCTTTAGCTTGTTCATCTTAATGCGGACATTTCCCCCTCAGCCCGATGATGATGATGATGATGATCCGCCCGATGCCTGATCGATGGCGGAAATATCTGAGGCGGTGTCTCGTCGGTTTTTGACG